TTTCAGGGAAGCACTGAGTTGAGGTGTGATGTTTGGTGCTCTGACATTTTGCGGGTATTTAGGTAGTGTGGTGATAGTTTATTAGTGTGCCCATACTGTTTTAGTTTGGGCCACTATTTAGTGGGTGGATGTTAGCATCAATTTAGTTGGTTTATTTTGTAGTGCCCATAATGTTCTTCGAGGAAGTGTGGAAGGATTTTCAGCAAGTGTGTTTCTTTTTCCTAGTGATGTGCCTTTGGTCAAGTTCAGGGTGTTATTGCTGGTCCGTTCCAGTGCTAGGTTCATTCCTCTGGGTTTGTTGTATGCGTATTTCGCAGTGTGACCTCTTTTCTTATTGTTGGTTGTATGTGTTTGATTTTTATGTGTTGGTTTGGTCATTGTGGTAAGGTGTGGGTATGTGCCGAATGATGTTACTATTCTGTGTATTTGTTCTTTACAACCCAAGGTACACTCTTTTTCCTCCATATAGGATTAGGGAGGTTTTTTAATGAGGGCCTTGTGGTGGTGTACTTTGTTACTCTCTTTAATACAAAGTACCCTATTTCAAAAAAAAAAAAAAACAACTAGAAGTTGATTACCTAGTGTTGGCACTCCCAACATACCAAAGGAAAACGTTTTCTCTCTAGTCAAATTTCAAAGAGACAATAAATTAGTTAGAGGCTATACGAAGCTGATGATGCAGGAATAAAGAAATATGTCGTTGGAGAGTGGTTGAAATTCCAAATGAATGAAGACAATCCAATCATGGAACAAGTTCATGCTTATGAGAAGTTAATATCTACTATTTTTGCCGAAGGAATGAAGATGTGCGAAATCCTTCAAGAAAACTCAATGGAGGATCCAGATGAGGTGATTTTTGTTGTAGTTTCTAAAGTTAACTAAGTGAAAAATCATGCCGAGTGGATTGTGGAAACTAGCGCTTCCAAATATTTTTGTGCCAATAGAGAAATGTTCACTGACTTTCAAGAATTTAGTCCACCATAAGCAACTAATTCAAGTTCTCAATAAATTATTCAATCAAATTAAACATATCCCTTTTATGGATTAAAATAATACGAGCAAATGTGGTATAATCACCTTAGTGGGTACTTATTAGTGGAAGGCTATAAGAATGATCCAATTTTCTTGTGCATTTTTATTAAGAGATTCAACTTTGGATTTGTCATTATTTTCGTGTACGTTGATGATTTAAATATCATTGCAAATCCTAAAGATATTTATGTGACAATGAAATACTTAAATACAAAATTTGAAATGAAAGACCTTGGAAAGATAAAATTTTGTCTTAAATTACATATTGAGCTCCTAAAGAATGAAATCCTTTTACATCAATCAACTTACATAGAAAAATACTAAAGAAAATCTACGTATATAATGCACATTTGTTGAGCACCTGATGGTTGTTAGGTCATTGGATGTAAATAAATATATTTTTCATCCTCTAGATAAAAATGAGATTCTTCTTGGTCCGAAAGTAACAACGCCGAGAGGCCCTGAGTACTGAAAAGAAACAAAAAAGGTGACAAAGGATCACCTTGAAGAAGACCTCAGCTTGGTCGAAATTCTTGAGTCAGAGAACCATTTACATGAACAATGACGGAAATAGATTCCACACAACATATTATTAGGTCAACCCAAGAAGAAGCAAATCCAAGCTTAAGCATTATCGCTCGCCAAAAGGGCCACTCGACCCTATCATACGCTTTCTCCATATCTAGCTTAGGAACAAACCCCTTATTTAGACCATTCTTCGACGAGTTCAGGTAATGGAGTAACTCATGAGCCATCAAAATATGATCAGATATTTGATGGCCATGACTAAAAGCAGCTTGATTCTCACTTATTCAGTGTCCGATATGATGTTTCAGACATCTAACCAGGACCTTACACTATCTTATACACCACGGTGCAAATACCAAAGACTAATGGGCTAGAGATGTTTCATAAGCTGTAGATCTTCTACTTTAGGGATTAGGGCGTGTACGGTCTTGTTAACCATACTCATACAAGCGTACCATCAAGGAGATTCATACATAGATCAATAAAATCCCTAACAATCCCAATGGAGGCGAAAGAAACACACGGGGAGACATCAATCCCAGGGTCTTTCTTGGGGTGAATATACAGAAAAACAGACACCGTCTTCTTATTAGTAAAAGGCATACACAACGTACTATTAACATCATCAGAAATAACATGTTCAATAGCATCCAAAATATGAGCATCAATAATAGGATTAGATGTCTTAAATAAATTATGGAAGTAAGACACAATGCTGCTTCTGACTCCCTTCTTATCGTTGTACTGAAAGTCATTGTTATCATGAAGTCCATGAATCCAATTCTTCTTCTAACGACCACTAGCCTGAGCGTGGAAGTAGGAAGTATTCCTATCACCATGGGCGAGCCAATTCACACGTGATCTTTGAGCCCAAAATTGCTCCTCTTTATCAAGTAGCATTTTCAAATCGGTCTTTGCATGAACAAAACTCTCCTGAACAACCATAATAGGATGACGTTGAAAGCCATCATTGACCAACTCTCGCAACTCCTTAGTACAAGCCCTCGAAGATGATGTACGATCTCGTTGCCAATCCTCCAAAGCAGCCCCCACAGCCGCAATTTTATCAAGCACTGAACCCCTAGCTGTTAGCCACACATCCTTAACTTTATCATGGCAAATCTTCTCATTCACCCAACAGGATTCAAAACGAAAGTAATCATCCCTACAATGACCATGCAAAGAAGTAGAGGTGCATTCATATTCATTAAAGGTAAAATGGTCAAATGCTCAGCAAATTCAGTACTCGCATGAAAATTCTCATACAACGCCAACCAATCCTTATTTTCCAAAAAACAATCCATATGCTCTTGGATTGTAGGATTCTCAGCTGATCCATAGTTCCATGTAAACCATCCCAGAGAGGGTTTACAATCAAACAAACCATTGTTACTCAAGGCAACATGAAACGCGTCAAGAAGAACTCGCGCTTTTTTACGTCCACCACGCTTTTCAAAATCATACAAAATCTCGTTAAAGTTGACCCCTACAATCCAAGGGAGAGACGAAACACTACTAATTGTTGACAAAGTATCCCATGTAAGCTGCTTATGTTGAATAAAATGTTGACCATGAATTCCAATAAAATGAAATTTATCAGAAACATGATGAATAATAGCATCTATATGAATTCGATAGTAAGACAAAATATCAACGCCTATTTCATTATTCCAAAGCAGCATCAAGACAGTACATGAACTCCCATTATCAACCGTAGAACGACTATCCATCCCTAATTTGCACCTAACATAAAGGAGAAGAGAATGAGAGATTCGGGCGACAAACTGTCTTAAACCATGAACTATCGCAGCATTGGCTAAACCACGACAGTTCCAACATAACATCTTCATGGCATCTGACAAGGATGTCCTACAGCCTCCACTAATATCTTGTTTGCCTTGCCAGATAGCCAACCCACCATCTGAAGTAGAGGATAGTCCTGGAACGTTTCGAAGAAACAAGATTAGTTACTTCATACTTCCCTTGCAAGGTTCATTTAGCAGGTTTGGTCATCGGCTCTTCTTTATGAAAAATAGTTTCAGCCTCAGCAACATGCTTACCCTCATGGTTCGTTGACTGGGTTAAGGTCCCATTCATAGCACATTCAAAAGACGAAATAACATCAGCAGTAGTCTGCTTATTCTCAGTTGCAGTAGAGGTCTCATCAGCCGCCACTAACTCTTGAGCAGCAAACAACTCTTTAGGAGAAGGAGAATCTTGTCCCCCCGATAGAGTTAGCACAAAATCAGAAGGAGCCACACTCGAAGACCACACATATTCGATAGGTCGCCTAGGTCTAGGTTTGAACTTAGGCTGCTAAACCGAAACCTTTAACCAGTCTCCATAGGGCAGCTTGGAGGCCTTTTCATCCACCTTTACAAAGCACAACAATGTGTTATGAACAATAATTCCACATTTGTAACAAAACTTTGGGAGATGTTCATACTTAAGAGGGCACACACACGGTTTACCACTCTTCCCTGAGTCGAGAAACACACATCTCCGCAGAGGTTGGTTGATATCGATCTCAACCCTAACCCTAAGAAATTCTCCAAGGTTGCCACCCACCAATCTTATATCAACAACCATCACAGAACCTATGCATCCACCCAAGGCCATTCCCATAGATCTGGTCATTGAACCGAACGGAAGGTTGTAAATGCGGACCCAAACAACCATTGTATCAAATGAATAGTCATCCAGACCCTTCTCCGAGTCATAAGCCAGCAATGAAAACATGTTACCCTTACAGGTCCAAGGACTACGCTTAAGAACTATCTCCATCGCCTCATCGGAACTAAACTTCACCTGAAAGAATCGTTCGTGAAGCTCCATGATATCATCAACCTTTTTCATACCCTAAACTCCTCGAAAGATACGAACAAGAACACCGTCATCAACCGGTCCCTGGGAGATAAACTTCCCAATCAGACAGGGCCCTAGATCAGCAGGTTCATATCGGCGACACCTTGGGTTACAACCTCGCAAGTTTTCAAAGCAGTAAAATAGAGATCTTCCATTTGCTTAAGGATATAATCAGCCATACTAAAATTACAAGAGAAGATGAGAGTAAATATGTGGAGAAAAAACCCAGAACTGAAGGTATTTATAGCATCAAACAACCAGTAAAGAGGTAACAAAGAAAGCTTACGTGCTCCGAAATAACAACCATGCAGAGAGGAGAAGTCGAGTTTGGTAAGACTAGGAGTCTTAACCTTGTTAACACACAGAACCTGTTGCTGAGTGATAATCCAAGAGGCCAATAAGGGCCTTATTCCAAAAGTTATGGTGATGTATTCGATCTAGCCACATCAGCACCTGTAGAGCCTCAATCAACGGAAAGAGTCTTTGTGAAACACTAACTCCTAGGGCTCCGTTGCATAAAAAGAGATATATAGTCGTAACCCAGTAGGTAACTATCTATACCTCGACAATCACGGAAATGATTAATCTTGTTGCAAACTGTAGCATTTACCCCACGCGTCGTCGCACACACTCCGCCCACCGCCGTTGTTCTATACCAGATACGTCCACAGACCAGTAAAGGCAACATAAAAATCCCCATCGTCATCCCTTCCAGATGGCTGGAACAGACACACACCAGTACAAAACATTTAGCTTATATATCCAAGAATCGATAATAATATAGATTAACAACTACAACTGAAATCAGAGATTAACAAAATATAGATGGAAACCATACAAAAATGACAATGAAATTTCTGTAAATCCCTTTAAATTCCATGACTTACGGTTGCCCACAATCGACAACGAAATAACCAACCAGTGACGGCACCAAACTGTTGAAATCATAGTAGACAAACTCGCATAGATGATAACGGCAAGACGACAATCAATAAAATGAATACTCCAATTTGAAGGGAGAAAAAACAACACCCAATAAACCCCATAAAAGCAATACCTGTCGTAACCGGTTTTCGTCCGGGCACGAATTTTTTTTACTTGGTGGGAAAAGTGATGTGAATAAATGGTTTTTAAAATAATTTGGGAGTCGCCATCGGCCTTTTGGGTCAGGTAGGTCGAATACCTAAAAATTATCTTTTAAAAGAGTTTTAAGAAAACATCAGTTAAAGATGATCTGATCTGCGTTTATAACCAAAAATTCGTTCTTTTTAATAATAAAAAGGGATTCGTGGTCGGTTACATTTAGGGAAAGATTAGCACCCTACAACGCCCAAAATTGGTACTTTTTTTTAATTATAAATTGTCTCTATTATTAGAAATTTAAAAATTCAATATATATTTAATTCATAATCCTTTTATTTCAAATAATTTTAAGAAATATATTAATATATAAATAAGATATTTACTTATTTAAAAATATCAGAAAATGGCTTCTAGGTGCTTTAAGACAGCTCTTTTCTTTGATATTAATAAATAAATAAATAACCAAAAGATTTTCTTAAAATAAAAATTTATTTTAATAAGATATTTATTTATTTAAAAATATCAGAAATGGCTTCTAGGTGCCTTAAGACAACTCTTTTCTTTGATATTGATAAATAAATAACTAAAAATGTAAAAATTTAAAAGTAAAATAATTTAAGTAAAATTAAATTATAATATTTAATTATTTAAAATACCAGAATAGACATCCAGTTATATCAAGACTGTCCTTTTCTTCGATATTAAAAATAAATAAACATTATTAATTTATAAAATTAATCAATAATATATATTAATAAAAATAAAATAATAATACTAATTAAAATATTAAACATATAAAATTAAAATATATTTAAACTATAATTAAAATAAATTAAAACTAAATATAAAAAGTAATAAAACTTGTAATTAAATAAAAGTATTAAAATTAGTGACTAAATTATAACATATTGAAATTAAATACTCTAATTCGTAATTAATTATTTAATATTGCAGTGGCTAAACATGCTATTTTATGCATTTATTAATTTAGTGACTAAAATAATAATTATTAAAACATAAGGGACTAAATTTATTATTTATCCTAAAGATATATAAACTGATAATGACTAAAATGGGTATTTACCCTAAATATTATATAAGCAGGCAAGGATTAAATTATAAATTAAATAAAATTATAAAACGAATTAAAATGATTAAAAATCAATTTCAGTGACTAAATTGTAAAGTTACAGACCTATAAGGATTGCGGAAAGGGTTTACCCTTTCTTAAATTACACAGATACCCTCCCCAAAACGACGTCGTTTGGGGAGGGTTTTAAATACCCTAAACGCCTGGCCCGAAGGGCCAAGCTTCCCATTTGCCTCTTTCATTTCTCTCTCAAAATGAGAGAACCAGAGTTCTCTCTGGTTTCTCTCTAATTTCCCTCGCCGGAGGAAAACCGGCAGCCATAGGCCACCGTACTACGGTGCTGATCACCATCGCCGGCCACCGTAAACGGTGGTCGGAATTTACAAAAATACCCCCAAAGCGTAGATCTAAACGTCTTGAGGTCGAATACGGCCTCTATTTATCCTAAAAATCCTTAGAAATTCCTAGATCTAGGATTTTACCTTCGAAATCCGAAGGTTTCCGGTGATGTTTCGAGTGCCTCCGATGACAAAGTAAGCTCTCTCTTCTCTTCTCTTTTTTTTACCCTTTTTTTTATACTGGTTCGTCGTTGACTGGGATCGTTGGTAGTTTTTCTTTTCTTTCGTTTTTTTTCTTCTCTCTTTCTGTTTTTTTTTTCTTTTCTTTTTTCTTTTGTTTTTCTCTGCTCTCTGTTTCTGTATCTTGGTTGCTTCCCCTTTTTTTTTTTGTTTGCAGGGAACCAGTGGCTTTTATAGCCACCATGAGGTTCGTCTCGGACCGGTCACAAAGGGGTGACCTTTGGTGAGTCACCGGACTATGGTGGTGACTCACCATAGGGCGCACTTATGGAGTCTTCAACGGGCGTGGCTGAAGCTGAGACGTTGGTGTGGCGGTGGAGTCTTCTGGAAGCAGAGGCGGAGGTTGGGACGTGTCCCTAGGGTATCATCACCCTAGGGTTTTATCTGGAAAGCTGTGGACCGTTGGATCAGACCAGATCCAACGGCTGAGATCATTGGTGGCTGTAAGCTGAGATGATGAAAACCCTAATTGGGTTTAGGGTTTAGGCTTGTAAAATGGGCCTGATTATTTGGGCTTGTAATAATATATTTAATAATAATATAATATATATAATATAATAATAATATTTATAATAATAATAATAATAATTTTAATAATAATAATTTAAGTAAAATGAAAAATTAGTGTTCACAATACCAACAGGAAGCATTACTAATCTGATAATCCCTCCGCCAGATCGAAACACCCATATTAAATATGACCAACAATGAAAGAGTTCTTGACAAACCCTATGACAATTAATAAACAGTGAACTAAGCCACTTAGAAAGGCCAGAGAATGACTTACAATAATCGTGATCGCAGACATATCACACCAAAGAATGATCTCCACGCTTCCACAGTTCTGACCAACGACTGTCACGAGCAGTGGCCATCGAAAAGGGAACAAACCCTTACGACATTCGGAGAGATCGTGATAATAAACCTAAAATCAAAAGAACACATAAACCAAAACCCGAATCAAAAACCTTGCATCGAACCACCATTGAGTCGGTGTAGATGACCAGAGAAATCCTTCACCTCAATGGTAGCGCCACCAGAAGAGGATTCCAGCGAGAAAAGATGAGAGGGAATTCCAGAGAGAATTTCAAAGAAAATTTCCGTACCACCAGTTACCAGTTTACCAATAGACTTTAGAAAACAAAACACATGAAAATGGGTACTTAATGAAATTTCTAATTATGTTCCAAGTCTTTTTATTATTAGTATATTTAAAATTTATTTTTCTACTTTTAATATTAGAGATTTAATTCCTATATATTTTTGGTTTAATAATTAAAATCTAATTCATAATACAATTAAATAATTTCCATTAAATTAGATTATGTGAAATTATGCTTTTTAATAAAATTCTCACTAAGACTAATTTAAAGTCTTGTGGAATGAAAGGTTTAAATTTTGGAAATATTCTAGGCAGGAATTTGTTTTTTGAAAAATGGGGGTGTATGAGAATTATTTTGGGATTTAGGCTATTTGCTATAATACACGTGAAATTTTTTTCATAAAATATATTAAAGAATAAAACACATTATATGAAATAAAAAAAATGTATGGAACTTGTCACGGGGTGACGAGCTCTAATTATTTATTATATTTTATGGAACTCGTCACAAGGGAGTGACGAGTCGCGCGTACGCTGTAGTTGATGATTTAAATCCCAAAATAAATGTCAAACACCCTATTTTTTAAATGTCTTCCTCGCATGCATTATTTAGTCGAAAAACTCGAAGAAGTAATATATATATATCCATTTATACTTAGTGTAAATTTTTTAATTTTACACTTTTTTAAGATCGTTGGATGAGATAAATTAAAGGTTAATATTAATTCCTTAATTTTTTTTCTAATGAATATATTCTTATTAAATAGAATAATTGAAAATACTAATAAATTAAAGTATATTATTGAATTTGTCATGAATAATTATTTGTTTGTAGAGTTTACAACTCATTAATGCCTCAACATGATTCATCGCATCCCGAAACCCAATTTCTACACTTAAGTTTTTAAAAGAAGATCCAAAGTCAAAGCTATGTAACATTTTGATATAAATGAATGCATTGCCAAATTCGACTCAAAGTCATAATTCAATTAGTTGATATAATTTCTTAGAATAATAGTTTTTAAAGTTTTTGTTAAGAATTTAAAAGCGAAAAAATAATCGAAATGAAATCACCATAAAACAAAGCATTCATAAAAGAAATATTTAACATGGTTTAACTTTATACATTTTATACGGACGAAAGAACTAATAATTCACTATAAGATACAGATCACAAAGAGTGCAATTGATATACCTACAAAATTCATCTTTACAACATAAACTTCAAAATTACAAAAATCACAAAATGATTACGTCTCTCTAAAATAATTCTCTCATAATCTTATAAGTTATGATCTATTCTATATTTATAAAATAAAATAAAATTGGTCACCTATAATTCTTATTTCATAAGAATTCTTGCCTAAATAATTTTTATCGCTAATTATTATTCAACTATTAGAGTGATAATAAAATCTAACTTAATTAATAATTAGAATTTGCATCAACATGTAACAATCTCTTAATTGACACAAATTCAATAAGAAAATTAGTCTTCAAGTTTTTAACAAAATTCTTATGTAAGTTAAATAATTGTTGAAGCACTGCATGTATGTCTTCAACAACTATGTAAAACGAGAAAGAAAACTAAGATACCAAGATTTATGTAAAAAAAAAACTAATGAGAAAAATCACCAACAAAACAGGAGAAATTTCAAGATATTAAAGAAGAAATTACGAGATAATTACGACTACGAACTGATTTGAGAATTAATCAACTTACATCTAGCCCCTAATTTATACAATCTATTTATAAAAATAATCACTTAAATACAAAAAACACTTACAAAGATAGAAATATACTCAAACTGGATTTCTTACTTCTAATCAACATCGGACTGTAGAAGTATAATTTTATGTAGATTCAACATGTTCGTACTGTAAGGTGGACTCCTGCATCCATGATCCCAGATAGTGCTGCTAAATCCTCGTGTAAACTATCTTTGGGTGGTGTGGTGGGGCGATGATTTTAAGGAGCAATTTAGGTTATGAATAATGAATGAAAATTACTGAATTCCCTATTTGTTCAAAGTTTTTATTTATTTATTTTTGTTGTTATAATAGTCGGTTTTTGATTTATTAATCGATTAATTCATATCGAGTATTGCAGAGGCAATGACAACCCTCCAAACTCAAATTGTTTCATTCGCAAACGTCAAAATTCAAACCCTTGACTTTTCTTAAGGAACTCAGTTTTCAAAGTTTTTTATTTATTTTTTAATTTCTCTTTTGATAGAGAAATTAATTAAATGAACTATACGAAAAGGTTTTGATAGCAATGTTAATCTTCACATTTAGGAGTAAGATTACCTTTGGGAATATGATTATCGGAATGTAACGTACATTATTCTAGAAATATTATATTATCTTATTTGGTTTATTGGTAAAAATTTAAGATAACAATGTTTGGTTAAACTTATATTTTTAAATAAATTTCATAAATCATATTTATTTATATAAATATAATATAATATGAAAAATAATATTATAGTCTCGAGTGTTGAAGCATGAACTCATGCTTTCGTGAGTTCGCATATGTTGCTGTTAGTTTGCGTGTGTTCAGTGTAGTTTGGAGTGTGTGTGCACAATTAATGAGTAGGTTGTTAGCAGTTTGTTGAGTCTGTTGGAGTGGTTAGGAGCAGTTAGAAGGCTGTTAAGTCTATGAACTCATGTATAAATGTACTGCTTAACATTGGATAATAAATACGCTTCTGCATATTCTTGATAAATCCAAGAGTTGTATATTAATTTCAACAATGGAAGGAAGCAGTATTGGCTGAATATGATGCGTTGGTGAGGAATGGCACTTGGACGTTAGAACCATTACCAAAAGGGCGAGCAGCAGTTGGCTGCAAATGGCTATTCAAGGTTAAGTTTAATGCAGATGGATATGTGTTGAAGCATAAAGCACGTCTTGTGGCGAGGGGTTACTCACAAGTACCTGGCCATGACTTCGGTGACACGTTTAGTCCGGTGGTGAAGACTACTACTGTAAATGTTGTGTTGTCTCTTGCTGTGACTCGAGGTTGGAGTTTAAGGCAGGTGGATGTTAACAACGCATTCCTTAACGGTGAGCTTGGAGAAGAGGTGTACATGGTCCAACCACCGGGTTTTGAACGAGTGGCTAGTGATGGAACTCGGCTTGTTTATAGGCTGAGGAAGGCTTTGTATGGATTGCGACAAGCACCACGCATGTGGTATGCCAAGCTGCGCAATTACCTGCTGGAGCTCGGGTTCTGTGGTACGAAGTCTGATGCGTCTTTGTTTATCCACCGAGTGGGTGATGTTCGTATAATAGTGCTGGTATATGTCGATGACATTATCATCACAGGTGAGTCTAATGATGCTATTAATGAGGTGGTTAATCTACTTGGTGCGAAGTTCTCGTTGAAAGATCTGGGAGAACTCGGATACTTTCTGGGTGTTGAAGTGCATAGGACCTCTGAGAAGTTGGTGTTGAGCCAACGCAAGTTTATTAAAGAGTTGCTGGAACAGACTGCTATGCTTACTGTTAAACCTGCACCTATACCGATGGTGGTTTCACCGAAGTTGACTAGTGATGCCGGGAAGCCGCTTTCGGATGCATGGATGTATCGAAGCATAGTCGGTTCCTTGTTGTACTTGAGTCATACAAGACCAGATATCGCCTTTAGTGTTAATCGGGTAGCTTAGTACATGCATCGACCTTGTGATGGTCATTGGCTTGCGGTTAAGCGGATATTGCGTTACTTGAGTGGAATGATTGAATGTGGCTTAGTGTTTAGACGTTCTTCTGCAGCTGAAGTTTGCAGTATGACTGCATTTGCAGATGCTGACTGGGCCAGTAATGTTGATGATCGTAGATCGGTGTCAGGATCATGTGTGTTCCTTGGTTGCAATTTGATCTCGTGGAGTGTAAAGAGACAAAAGGCTGTTTCTCGTTCAACAACAGAAGCTGAATACCGTAGTATTGCTGATACAATTGCTGAGGTGATTTGGGTGAAGTCCTTGTTGACTGACTTGGGGGAAGAAGTTGATGCGATACCGGTCGTATGGAGTGACAATACGAGTGCAGTTGCCATGAGTGCTAATCCGGTGTTTCATGCACGGTCGAAGCATATAGAATTGGACATACACTTTGTGCGCGAAAAGGTAGAATGTGGAGCTGTTCGTGTTAGTTACGTACCAACAGAGCATCAAGTGGCTGATGGAATGACCAAACCTTTGGCTAAGTCTGCACATGTTCTGTTTAGTCAAAAAGTTCAGGTAGCTAAAACGAGAACAACTGAGAAGGATGGGGAGAATGTTGAAGCATGAACTCATGCTTTCGTGAGTTCGCATATGTTGCTGTTAGTTTGCGTGTGTTCAGTGTAGTTTGGAGTGTGTGTGCACAATTAATGAGTAGGTTGTTAGCAATTTGTTGAGTCTGTTGGAGTGGTTAGGAGCAGTTAGAAGGCTGTTAAGTCTATGAACTCATGTATAAATGTACTGCTTAACATTGGATAATAGATACGCTTCTGCATATTCTTGATAACTCCAAGAGTTGTATATCAATTTCAACATCGAGTGAACAAAAATATTATTTTTCAATATATAAGATCTATTTTTAATATCTCAAAGTTTGATATTATTTTAAATAATTACATTTTATAATAATATCATTTTCACCTCATAAATTATTAATATTTAATATTTTAAAGATTAAATATATAAAATAATTTTAACTATTCAAATTTATTAATATTTTAGTAAATCAAACTATTTGTAAATTATTATTATGTTTACAATTTTGAGCAAGGCAGGAAGAATAAGAGTTGAGATGGATCTACATGAAAATAATTCATTATTCTAGGGGTATTTTTATCCAAAATGGTGTGAATTGTGTAATGCCTAAGGATTTGGAGGTAATGACATTCCCTCTATTTTAACAAAAAAAATGCTACTATTGGTAATAAATTATTAATTGATAATAAATTTTTCGTGAAGCAAACATAAAAAATACAATTCCGGTAAACATTATTTCTATTAATAATGATATTTTCTGCGAATTAAACACCCCTTAACTTTTCAAAAATTCCAAGTTAATAATAATAATAAGATCAAGATGAATACCTTGATGTGTCTCCTATCAATGGATTATGGAGTAAGACATCCTTTGGACGGTGAAAAACGTTTTGAGTGAGATGAGACTTGTCGAAACAATTCTTAAGTTTTCATATTCATCCAACTTATTTTGAAAGTCTTCGGTATAAAACTTAAGTTTAGAAGAATAAATCGGTTAGGAGTCATCATCGACCTTTAGGTTAGGTAGATAGAACACAAAAAATGTCTTTTTAAAGAGATTTTGAGAGGAAATCCTTAAAAAATATATGTTTAACCAAAAATTCATATTGGAAAGGGTTCGAGAGTCGATTACGCGAGGGGAAAGATGAACACCCACACGACGCTCTAAATCAGTACCTAATCAATTATACGTGGTTGAGAGGCGTTCTCATAGATTCCCCTTACAAAATAATATAATTTTATTTTTTATAAAAAAATATATATGTATGTGTGTGCACGTGCGCGTGCGCGTGCACATATAAGTTTTTTGGAAGTCATTTGAATATAAAAAATATAATTTTGTACTGATAATTCTTAGAAACACACTTCTAGTAAGTTAAGAGGCATTTTCATAGGTTCCATTTACAATAATATTACTTTTATAATATCTTATGGGAAAAATATAATCTAAGTACAAAACTAATGATATGTACATAAATATTTAAAATAAGTAATAATAAATATATATTATGAAGTATAGATACAAAACGTAAAAATAAATCTATCCTATATATACGTACATTTAAAACATTTAATATAATAAAGGTATATTCGATTTGATTTTAAGTTATAGAAAGATTAGATACCCGATATTAGGGTTTTTTTCTCTCTACCCAAGTTTAGGGTTTTTCAGTTATGTGGTCTATTTCTGTGAGGATCTTTTCTCTTTGGTTCTTTGTTTTGTTTCCTATTTCAACCCTTGAAATCTTTGAAGTGCTGCTATGGAAGTAGTCGTTAGTGAATTTGAGAGCTTGAATCTTGGTGAGGAAGAGGAGGAAGTTCTCTCGATTAAGCAATTTGATATTGCCCCTTTGGTTTCTTTTGACAGATATTTGGTAGGTTAATTTCTCACCTCGAGAAACATTAATTTTCAAGCAATACTGATGATGTTGGTAAACGTTTGGCATCCCATTGGTGGTATTTCTATAACTGAATTGGAGGATGGTCGAAATATTTTTCGGCTATATCATAAAGTGGATATGGATTGGATTTGGAATGGAGGTCCCTGGTATTTTAATTTTCATTTGTTAGTTCTTTATCGTATTTGCAGAATTGTGGATCCGAGGGGAGTGGCTCTGAACATGGTATGGTGACATGAATGTCATTTCCTCCTTTTCCTGGACCTATTGGATTATTGATAGAATTTTGTGACATTGTTAGTAAAATAAAACCACACCTACATAAAAATCTCACAAAAACTCACTCCAAGAAAATAATCACTCTACTCGTGTTTAGTCTCATGAATTTTGATTTTGTTCCCCTTCTAATCTCACAGATCTCTTGTTTTTTACCCTTCAAATCAAATCTCTTAAGTTACTATTCGAACTCACTCAAAACTTGATCAATCCTTTCTTGTGAACTCAACTGTAAATTTTGATGTTAGGGTAGGGAAAATAAAAGTAATAAGGGTAGGCTAAAAGAAAGATGAAGGTGTGGTAACCTGGGTCACTAGTAAGAGATTGAAAACTCAAATTAAACAATCAATACTTGTGTGTATTTCTTTCATCCTTTTTTACCTTGTATGCCTTGCTTTTTACTTTTTTTTCTTTTTCTTTTTTTTTGGCACAATTTCATCATTTTGATTTTGATATTTTTCATGTT